GCTCTTCAGCTCAAGGCGAGCGCTCTACCACTTGAGCTACAGCACCACTTCCGGTTTTCTGGTGGTTTATTGGAGATAGGAGTCTCATGGTCTCTCCTGCCCGGGCTGGCTTTGAACTGGGATCCTCAGATCTCAGCCTCCTGAGTAGCTAGGATTACAGGCATGAGCCACCAGCGCCCGGCTTATGCCTGTAATCTTAACTACTCAAGAGGCTGAAACCTGAGGATTGCGGTTCAAAGCCAGCCCAAGCAAGAAAGGTTGTGAAACTCCATAATCAACTGCCAAGAAGCTGGACGTGGCCACACCTTCACAGATAAGGAAACTGAGGCACATGTTGCTTGTTGCTCCTCCCCTTCCCTCTCCTCTCCTTCCCTCCTCTCCTCTTCTCTCCTCTATTTTCTCTTGCTTCCTCTTTCCTTCCTTTCCCTTCCCTTCTCCCTTATTACCACCCCCCCTCTCTCTGTGCTCCTCCCATCTTTCTGTTCTGGGGATTGAACTCAAGGCCCCATATGCTAGGCAAGGCCTCTACCACTAAGCTTCATGCGGGTCCTGTAAGTCATCTTCACTAAATATTTAGCCTCGTGGAACAGATATATAAGCCACTGCTCTTCTTACTTGGTTGTTGGGGTGTTCTGGAACATTCCATGTTGCCTTAGATGGCAGTGGGAAACTGAGACTATGAAGAGGGAGGTAGCTAGGCTCGAGGGAGGTAACTAAACATCTTATTACAGTTATAACACTGGGCTGGATAGATGACTTCTTTGGCCCAGGGTCCTGAAACCTCCATCTTTTGATGTCAACACGTGAAGCAAAATGTGAGGTTGAGGCAGTATGGCCTCCATTTGCCACGAGGAGGCTAGCTGTCCCATTTGATGTTTTTAAATTTCATTCTGCTGAGGGCAATCTAAATACCCTTTATTTTCCATCCATCATTAGGGGCTGTGTTTCCCGGCCCTCTCTGAGCCAGCGCTGCTATTTACACACATCTGCCCTTCTTTCATGCTTAGCCAAGCCTTCCTCTTCGTATTTTTAGCTCCTATAATCTTTCTTCTTTCATTCCTTTCTTCTCTTAGCTCCTATTCTTTTTTTGGAGGGTAAGCCAATCAAGAGGAACCTGAGCGGAGCGCTGGGGGCTCACACCCGTAATCCTAGCTACTCAATGATGAGATCTGAGGATCATGGTTCAAAACCAGCCTGGGCAGAAAACCAGGAAACCGGAAGTGAAGCTGTGACTTAAAGTGGGAAACACCAGCCTTGTGCAAAACACATTGCTCAGAGACAGACTTGGAGCCCATTTCAGTGAATTCTTATCCTCCCTCATGGAGGCTCCCACCTTCTAGTTCTAATGACTTTCTTGTTCTTCCTTTCCTCAGATGTCTTTGACACCCAACCAGCAAACTTAAATGCCCACGTGGGAACAGATCTGAGATTCCTGATGCCCAAGAAGAGCTAAACTCGAAGGTTTCTGAACTATGATGCAAATTCACAGAGCACACGGGCTGAATGGGTGTTGTCTTGAGTCTAGGATTTCACACGATGTTGTCCTGTCTCGTCCCGTCCCTTGTCACCTGATCTTGGACACAGATGACGCCCATTTCCAACCCAAAAGTGCACATGACATCTTCACTCATTGTGTTCAAAAAACCACATTCTTTCTCTTCTACGAATATCCACAAACTACTGCTTCTTGTGAACTTCCTGTCATTCGATGCTTACTGAGCTAGAAATGTGGGAGACAGGATCAGTAACCATACTGTGCTGAGCCAACACTGAGTCTAAAGGAAAAACCAGGAGTGTAGCATATGTCTTTAAGATATTAGTAATGGAAGCTGGGCGCCAGTGGCTCACACCTGTTACTAGCTACTCAGGAGGCTGAGATCTGAGGATCTCCGTTCAAAGGCAGCCCAGGCAGGAAAGTCCGTGAGACTTTTTTTTCCAATAAACCACTAGAAAACTGGAAATGGGGCTGTGGCTCAAGCGGTAGAGCACTTGCCTTGAGCTGAAGAGTGCAGGGACAGTGCCCAAGCCCAGAGTTCAAGCTCCATGACCAACCAAAAAAAAAAAAAAAAGATATTAGTAATGGCTGTCAGTATGGTAGCACATGCCTATAATCTCAGAATTCAGAAGGTGGAGATAATTGGGTGTGTGGCTCAAGTGGGAGAGCGTCTACCGAGTAAACATAAGGCCCAGAGTTCAAACCTCAGTACCACCAAAAATAAAATAACAGCAAAATTGAGGATCATGAATTCAAGGTCAGTGTGGGTCATATCAAGAGATCCTGTCATGGGCTGGGAAGGTGGCTCAGTGGTAAAGCGCTTGCCTTGCATGCCTGAGGCCCTGGGTTCGATTCCTCAGCACCACATAAGCAAAAAGAAAAAA